GTTTTTTTTCTTTAAAATTTTGCCTGCGGCTTAGAAAATATGGCCATAACAGGGACTAAACTCTAAACTATGCTTAAGGAGAGCTCGAAAATCATTTCGGTCGCCCAAAAAAAAGGTCGACAAAAAATGTGGTGTTTGTTTCTTGCCTGACAACCGTTTTTACAGAAATTTTTAGATTCGGACTAGTTTGAAAGTTTTGTTTGAATTAGAGTGAGAGGCTCACAAAAGTTGGTCTTCAAAAATCCAATTTGCTTCAAATCAAACATTGTGTTTTGATGTTTATAATCAAACTCATTTTTAAAGTACTTTTTTGTCAGTTTTTGAAACTGCAGATCAATTTTTGTTGACAAGTTTAGTATTTGATCAATCAGATTTTATTTACGTTGCTGAATTTTTAATGTTTTGTTAGGAGTTCGAGAAAAAACTCATAGAAAAATGTAAATTTAGGAACATCGAAGCCCGATGTTCTTAAATTTTATTTGATTTGAAGGCGAACTGATTGAATTTCTAAATTGAGAACAAAAAAGACTAGTGTTAGTTCTTGTACAGGAAACTGTGCAGTTGCAGCTGTTCTGGTTATTTCATCTTCTCTTTCTATGTGGTTTTAATGGTCGCATTTTAATGTATGTCATAAGCGTATTTCTCACGATCATTAATGAATAGGTTGTCATAAAGTTCCTAGATTCGACCTTCTTTGATACCCATTAATGAACTATGAGCTCGGCCTTCATACTGGATTTGGTTTTTTTTTGTAGGCTGCGACTGATTGATTTATAGTTTCAAATCAACTATTAGCTGAAGTTAAGTTTTCTGCTCCATTCTGTATTTGTCGATACCTTGGCATCGGTTCATCTCTAGAGTCTTGCAAATTTCTTTTATTTAGTCCTTTACTGCTAAATTTAAACGTTTCACTTTTATTATGTTATGTACTTTGCCAGCAAAGTTTTTCAAAAGAACACAATACTTTGATGCACTTGATTTCTTCCTCGAACAATCCTGGTTCTCCCTTATCGTACTTTTTTTTAATTTAGAGCAGCAAGTACAACAAAAGAAGTTTTTCAATCTGCTCTGGAATCGTTTCGCTTTTTGGGAAGCAAACATTCATATAAGTATTCTTCTATCAAAGCCAACTAGAGAGAATCTGTGATCATTCCAAAATCTTCAGTTTTGTTTACGTCGTAAAGTTGACAGAGAAAGTTATAATACAACTCCATCATTCTCAGCTTGCGTCCGTAGTATAAAAATCATACTATAATCGATTCACGATGCTCTATAGTAGATTTAACAAGCACCACTTCAAAAATTTTTCAACTACATTTTTGAATTTTTCAAATAACTGGTTAGTGATAGCTTCAAGAGTTTTTTGTCAGCAAGATACTCTGTCATTGTATGTTTTGGTCTGACTATTTTTTGTTAGCTATAGTAACATTTCCTGAGCAATTTTATGTTCCGGCTATTTCACTAGCTAAGGGATACTAGCATCAATAACAAACTGAAAAAACTGTTGATCAGTTAACGCGGTAGGTATTGTACAAATTGACGAAATTTCGTTCACTGTTGTCCAAGAATAAATGTTCGAGAGTCGGGGTATAAGTGTTCCGTGGAGCAATTTTTTTTTAAACAATATTTTTCAAAAATTTTTAATTTTTTCTGGTTACTCGTTTGATATCTTCATTACTCAGGCTAGGTCTAGATACTTGAGTTTCTGTCGTGTAGTAAGTTTCAATTTTGCATTGAAATCTGGTTCCTTGAAAACATGATATGATCTAATTTTTTAAAATACAATCTAGGTTTTGCTTGCCTTTCATTCTTGGGATTTTTCTTTATAGTCCCATCTTTTATACAAGGCTCTTGGCACAACTTGGCACATGAGAAAAGATAAAGTTGACTGTCATCAAGGCCAACAATCAATTTACACATGGTATTCAATTTTCAAATAAGCGTCTTTTTTTGCATGTGTTTTTCTTGTGAAAGCAATAGAGGGACCAACATTCATCTATTCCAAGATTTTTCAACAAATCACTACAACTCGAGAAGAAAGGATATAACATCCAGTCCGTTTGCTAGTTTCGGCAGTGCGCAGCCAAGTATTGCCTTTTCTGTCCGAGTTTCATAATAAAATTTGAACCTTTTCTGCTTACTTGCTAGAAATCGAACAATGTCTTTGTTGTTATACCACTCTAGAAAACCGCAATTTAAGGTAATATTTTTCTTCTCTCAGATAGATTTTGGGTAGTTGTAACTTGTCAGTCCCGTAGGAATTGTCGTATTTCATTGCTTGCTCTCCAAGTAACCCAGTTTTATGAAACCTCTGAAAATCATCATATTTTCATCAAGAGTGTTAAAAAATTAGGATAAAACGTTGGGTTGAATAAGACTGTATAACTTAAAACTAAGACTAGTTTAAAACGAGGTTGTTTAAGATTCCTACAAGGTAGTTGTAGGCTTTATCTAAGACTAAATAAAAGACTGTGATATCTAACTAAAGTAAGAGATGTTAAAAAGGTTGAATTGGTTTCAGACGATTTGTTGCATATCTCAATTGATAGTGAACTTTCGGCAGGTGTTTTATAAAATGGTATGGTAAAAGGTCACAACTAAGTATAACTCAAAGGTTAAACGGTCAACATCAAATAACTCATTTTTTCTTCCCCGCGAAAATTTAACTATGATCTATACTCTTCGCGACACAAGGAAATGTTCTAGCGCTGGGATAAATGATCGGGTAGGCTGATTAGGAAGAGCCCCGCAAGAGGGCCCGATGGGCAAGAAAGTAGCACTATAATGTTATACAGAGTATATGATCTATCCTCTTCACCACACCAAGAAATGTTTTAGCGCTAGAATAAATGGTCGGGTAGGCTGGTTAGGAAAAGCCCCACAGGAGGGCCCGATGGGCACGAAAGTAGCACTTACATGAATAAGTTATATAATTATCCAATGGTGACGCCCAATGGGTGCGAGAAAGATTTAGCAGTAGATGAAAGCGTGACTATATGGTTCAATTTAAACTTTATAGCGGTACCAGAAATAATTCAATTTTAGCGTATTAGGCCAGCACTTTAAGTTTGTTTTATGCGTTTTAATGTTACTCGAGGCTCGACAGTACACAAAATCTAATATACTAAAAGAGTTTTGGAATGTGTAAAAGTTTCTGACAATTTTTATGGTAAGGTTACTAGACTTCAATACTTCTAACTTGCGTCCCGATTTGCAGCTCTATTAATCGTCCATCTCCTTAACTCCTCGAGCGTCAGTGGCCGTCCTAAGAGTTTTATCGCTGAAATGACAGAGGAAGTATTTAACCAGTCCGGATCGAGATCTAATGGTGAAGATGTTGGTTCGGAAGTTTCGGAGGGTAGGCCCGATGGGTGGAATTTGGTAGTGCAGACCTCCGGGCTGAATGTGACCTTCTTGCTTGATGTACTTTGATTGGCTGCTACAAGGGACTTCGTATCACTCGGGTACTCGAAGCTTTCTTCCAGCAGGTACACTGTGGTGGGGTGCGATGACGAGGGTGGTGTCAAGATTGTCAATCCACAACGTCAACATGATGGCTCTCCATTTCGACCGAGGTTGCTTCTATCGTTGGGTAGATTGGGGGAGTATAAACAGGCCTAGATATTGGCTCGTCAAAGTTTTCGTCAGTTAGGTCTACTACGCTGGTAAACACTCTTTCACCCAGCATCTTTGGGGGCTATCTGGATCGCATAGGTCTAGTATTCTGTCGGGTAAAAATCTCAGGTAGTTTCTTCGAGGGCGGTGATTTCAGCGGAGATGACGC